ATCACTATCAATTTGAATTTCTGCCTGCTCTCCACATAGCGTTTCACGTAGTTGTTCAAGTGCACGATCGACCGTCGGCTCAGGGGGTCTGTAGCGCACATTGTCAGGTACGTAACTTGGGCTCATAGCCCACAATAGTGGTTTCCCAACTGCTATTCCAAGCACCTGAAAGGTCGCTAGGAACGACCCAACCTCACGTAGGCCCGGCTGAATCTCTTTCAGAGAAGCCACCACTTCACATACGTTTCGTTCCCGCAGCAGCCCATGCAGCTTCATGCCCTGATTGTATTCTTTCAGGTCAGACTTAGCTTTACCTCGCGCTTCCTTACGGTTTAGTCCGGGGCGTCCAACTGGCACAACTCTGTCGTTTAACTTGATCTCCACCGGAGCTGTATCTCTCGATGCTCGCGAACGTTGTTCGGCCGCAATGGTGGGGGCTTGCTCGATAGTTGAGTAGGCAGTGCGACATCGGAGTCACCATTATTACGACTGATGCCACCATTTCTGCCGACAGCACCACCACCGGTAGATTCACCACCCGGAATCACCGCCACCAGATTCATCACGACTAGGCTCACAACTACTAGCAGGTCCACCTGCGTCTCCTCCTCCTTCACTTCGATCATTGCGTTCACTACTGTCACTGGATTTAGGTGGCTCGATATCAACTTGATCCTGCCGCAAATTATGCCACCATTCATCAAACTGGGTCATTGCCATGTCAAATGCGACGTCACTCAATTGTGCCAGCTCTCCACTGACCCGGTTAAATTATTGCTGGGCACACCGATATTTCTCCTGCTCTGATCGAGTCTCTACGGTGCCTTGGGGCCGCTTAAAAAATCCTCGCTACGAACGGGTTTGCCACTGCTGATAGATTTTGCGTAGACAAACGACTCTGCCCGTACCATCTAGAACAAAGCAAGTGAAAGGCAGCAAGCCACGGTTAATATGTGGATAAAACCTGGATAATGTAGGCAAAAACCTGGATAAAACATGGAAAATGCCTGGACATACCTAAACCAAATTGCAG